TGTCGCTCTCTGTCTTTCTGGCGACTGCACGTGCCCTGTAGCAAAAACCTTTCAAAAAAAAAAAAAAGATTTGCCTGTTGCACATTTCACATAGCTGGAATCATACAATGTGCCCTTTGTATCTGACTTCTTTCACATAGCATCATGTTTTCATGTTTTCAAGGATCATCTGAGTTTTTATACCTATTGGAACTTCTTTCCTTTTCATGGCTGAATAGTATTCTGTTATATAGATATCCACATTTTCTTCTTTCATTCATCAGTTGGTAGACATTTGTATTATTCCACTCACAGTTTAATCTTTGGAGAGGTTTTTTTTTTTCTTTTGCTATAGGGCACGTGCGCTCGCCAGACAGACAAAGAGAGACATAGAGACAGAAAACGAGAAATCACCCCCCAGGGGGGATGGTCACGCCGCAATCCCTCCTCCTCCATTCTCCTCTCGGAATCTTGGGCACACATGCACACGCGCCCGGCATGAATTTTAAGCCACTGGGTCTGGGACGCGAACTACGGTCGACTACGTGGGAGTCCAGCGACATAGCCATTACGCTAACTGCTGGTTCCCTCGCAGTTTAATCTTAACCAGAGATTTCTGCATGCTTCCTCTTAGCCAGATTCTTTGTTTCCTAGCCTCCCTCCAGAAAATAGTGCTGGTTGGAGACAAAGCATACACAAAGCAGGTTTGAGTCCTAGAGCCAGTAGCTTGAAACTCATGTCAGGCACATGTGCTCTACCCAAGATCCTGGGAGGAGAATGGAGAAGAACGGATTGTGGCGTGGCCACTCTCCCATGAGGAGTGACTTATTTTCCCTCTCACTGTCTCTGTCTCTCTCCTGGAGGAGTGCACACGCCGTAAGGCAAAAACCTCTACACACACAAAAAAAAAAGATATACAAAGTTCATGGAATTGACTTTCTCAGACTTTAAAAGCTAAGAAATGTAACTTTTTTGGGAACCAGCAGTTAGCGTAATGGCTATGTCGCTGGACTCCCACGTAGTCGACCGTGGTTCGTGTCCTGGACCTGGTGGCTTAAAACTCATGCTGGGCGCATGTGCGTGCGTGCCCAAGATCCCGAGAGGAGAATGGAGGAGAAGGGATTGCGGCATGACCATCCCCCCTGGGGGGTGATTTCTCGCTTTCTGTCTCTATGTCTCTTTGTCTGTCTGGTGAGCGCATGTGCCCTATAGCAAAAACCTCTCCAAAAAAAAAAAAAGTGACTTTTTCTTGGGTGGTGAGAACCCTTCTGGTGTCCAGGTGGTCAGGGGCCCACTGTGGAAGATGTAGGGTCACTTCCTATCAGATCAGAGTGTAGAACTTTAACAGATCTTACCGATAGATGATTCAGACCATCAAACGACCTATCCGGGCTTCTAACAGACTTTCACAACCATCATTTGAAGAAGCACTAAAAACTCATTGAGATTGTACTGGTCTATTATTAGGATTTTCCCCATATTGTCTTAGGTATAAAGGAGATTGGGGACCAACAGGTGGCGAGGTGGTTAAGGCACTGAACACTCCCACATGGCCAACCATGGCTCGAGTCCCAGACCTGGTGGCTTGCTTTCTCGCTTTCCCTCTCTCTCTGTGTCTCTCTCTGGTTATATTAAAAATAAGTGAATGAATGAATAAAATTAAATAAGTAATTATATATTAAAAAAGAGATTACTAAGGTTTAAAAGGGTGAATGAGTTCATCCCATTTTGAGTTTCAAAGAAGACCTTCGGAACTTGGATTAGAGGAGGCACGAGGAGATACTGGAGACTTGTTAAGAGGCCAGTGTAGTAACCCTGGTGCGATGATGATGGCCAGGATTAGGGTGGTGGCAGGGGACAGAGAAGTAGAAGGAATTCAGAGTGGCTTCAGGGTGATACGAGCAACGCAGTGAATGATAGTGCCATTTACTGAATGAGGGGTGAAACAAGATGAAAAATGTGAGATCGTGAGTTGAATTTCGAAAGCTGAGCCAGCGAGAGGATGCAGGTAAGGCACACCCCAGCTCCCCTAACGTCATCTCACGGGAGTGATACTAGCAGAGTGTGGACTCTGTGCACCGAGCGTGGCCGGACCTCCCTGCTGGCTCCCTGAGCCTGAGCCCGCCTTCACACATGCCTTTGTTTTCTTTGGCACAGAGTTAAGGGTGAACAGGTGGGGCACCAGCATTAAACCAGCTCTTCTGCTTCCGCAACAGGAGGTTCTGGGGGAAGAGAGGCTGAAGGAAATACTGAAGGAGCGGGAACTTAGAGTTTACTGGGGAACAGCGACCACGGGCAAGCCTCACGTGGCCTACTTCGTGCCCATGTCTAAGATTGCGGACTTCCTGAAGGCGGGCTGCGAGGTAAGGACTGAAAAGAAGAGGGGCCAGCCACTGGCGTGGTGGCTAAGGTGGCTGGATCCCATATGGCTAACTGCACTGTTTGAGCCCCGGACTCAGTGGCTTGAAAAACATTCTGGTTGCGTGTGTGTGTGCCCAAACTCTCGAAAGGAGAATGGAGAAGAGATTACAGCGTGACCAGCCCCCTTGGGGGTGCTTCCTCACCTTCTCTCTCAGCTTTCTTCTCTTGTCTCTGTCTCTCTTCAGCAATCCCACATGCCCTATAGTAGACTTTATATATATATATATGCACATATTTGCCACCTTATAGCAAATAGCCGTCCTTAGGGAGTGACTAAAAGAGAGACTTAACGACTTAACAAGGGCAAGGTGGAAGGAGGAGAGTTAGAAGTACTTGGGGGGGCCAGCAGATGGCGTGATGGTTAAGGCCGTTGGACTCCCACATGGCTGACCATGGTTCGAGTCCCAGACCTGGTGGCTTGCTTTCTCACTTTCCTTCTCCCTATCTCTCTTTTAATCTCTCCTACTCTGGTCAAATTAAGATAAATAAATTAAATAAATAAAGTTAAATAAAATAGTTCTTTAAAAAAAGAAGTACTTGGAAAAGTTCTCATTTTGATGGTCCCTATCCCTTTGTCTAGGTAACAATTCTTTTTGCGGATCTTCACGCGTACTTGGATAATATGAAAGCCCCGTGGGAACTTCTAGATCTCCGAACCAGTTACTATGAGAATGTGATTAAGGCGATGCTCGAGAGCATCGGTGTGCCCTTGGAGAAGCTCAGGTTCGTCAAAGGCACCGATTACCAGCTCAGCAAGTAAGTGCCTCAGCACCGCACTCTGTCCTGCAGCTAGTTACAGGCCCATGGAGTCCAGGCGCTCTTTAAGTTTGCGTTAGAAGGCGTTTGGCACTAGCTGTTAAGAATCATTTAAAACTGTATACCTTTTGTCCTTTTAATTCATTCATCAGAATTATACTGACTAGGAATAAATGCCCGGGTGCCTCCTACTTACGGGAGGAGGTAGAAATATAGTACAGAGTCCTCGGCCTGCAGAGCTCACAGCGTGTGCGGAGTGGTGGTAAACAGCTCAGCTGCTTTCTCTTCCAGCCTCAGCGAACAGTGGTTCAGTGAAAGGGAAATACTTCTCTTGTTTATCAACACCCCAGCAGTTTGCATTACCTATTTTCATCCATTATATGTTGGTAGTGTTAGCACAAATATTTATTAACCCTGCTATGCTGCTTCCGTCTCCAAATTTCAATATTTTCCTTTTTAAAATTTATTTACTTTTACTTTATTTATTGAATTGCCAGAGGGTATATGCGCTCACCAACAATGAAAGTGAGAGAGGGATAGAGAGTACCCTCTGGTGGAGCATGGGTATCATAGTCCCTTCTCCTCCACTTCTTGTTCCCATCAGGTGTTTAGGCACCCATGCAAATGCACCCGGCATGTTTTTCAAAGTGCTGGGGCCAGAATTCAAACTGTAGTCAGCTGTGTGGCATTCAGGTCTTTTAACTGCTGACCTGTGGGGCTGGCCCCACATTTTAAAAAATTTTAAACCTCTCAAATAAGCCTTTCTAACTACCTGCCCTATAAAGGGACTTTAAAAAGTTCGTGGGGGGCCCAGCAAATGATATAATGGCGTGAGTTTAAGCCACTGGGTCTGGGACTTGACCTGCGGTCGACTACGTGGGAGTCCAGCGACATAGCCGTTATGCCAGCTGCTGGTCCCCAGATTTAACTTCCCCAGTTCTTACCTCTAGGAAGTATATGGGTCAGGATGTGAACCCAGATCTCTTGTTTACTAGTAAATTTCTCTTTTGTTTCTCTAGCGTTTGACATTTAGCGCTTTACGTGAAGCGTAAACCCATCTTTATATGAACAGATCTTTGTATATGAAGCCTCTGTAGAGGACCTGGGATTTCACCCTTTTTCCCATTTCTTCTACAGATACTTACGGACTCCCTATCCTAATGGGGCTTTCATCCTAGTGAGGGAGTGTGGGTGGTAAAGAAACACGCAGTGTATGTATCAGTACATACATGGTGTCGGATGCTAGTGCTACAGAGCAGTCAGGCCGGGGAGAGAACGCCGTGGGGGTGGGTTTCTCTCTAAATATCTAAACAGACTGCTTAGGGAAGGCCCCTCTAACAGGACAACATCCATCAGAAACCTAAAGAAGATGAGGGAGTGAGTCATGCAAACACAGGTATCGCGTTCTTACTGTTAATATTCCAGACACTGCTGAACACCGAGGTTATAACAGGTACAGTGTTTATTCTTCCACAACTTGACAGAATTGCAGGTATAGGAAGATGGCATCAATAAATAAAGCTATTGGGAACCAGCAGTTAGCCTAATGGCTATGTCGCTGGACTTCCACGTAGTCGACTGAGATTCGTGTCCCGGACCCAGTGGCTTAAAACTCACACCGGGCGCGTGTGCGTGTGTGCCCAAGATCCCGAGAGGAGAATGGAGGAGAAGGGATTGCGGCATGACCATCCCCCCTGGGGGGTGATTTCTCACTTTCTGTCTCTATGTCTCTCTCTATCTGTCTGGCGAGTGCATGCGCCCTATAGCGAAAACCTCTCCAAATAAATAAATAAATAAATAAATAAATAAAGCTATTGGGGCCAGCAGATGGCATGGTGGTTAGGGGCGCTGGACTCCCACATGGGTGACCATGGTTCGAGTCCTGGCCCTGGGAACTTGCTCCCCCCCGCCGCCCCCTCATCCTACTCTAGTCAAGTTAAAACAAAATAAAATGAATAAATAAATAAAGTTAAATTAAAAATTCTTTTAATAAATAAAGCTATTTTCCTTCAAAGCCACTTGATCTGGGCCAGCCGGTAATGTGGTGGTTAAGGTGACAGGATCCCACATGGCATACTGTGTGGTTAAAGTCCAAGTAATGACTTGAAAAACATACTGGGTGCACGTGTGTATGTGCCCCAAATCCCAAGAGGAGAGTGGAAGAGCAGGGACTGCAGCATGGCCAGCCCCTCGAGGAAATGATCTCTCACTGTCCCTCTCTCTCCCCTCAGCAAGCACATGCACCCTAGAACAAACACGCTAAACAGAGAAGTGGGACGGGACTGTGGGGGGCTCTCGGGAGCTTCAGAAGTAATTGTTAGGTCTTATTTCTTAAGCCGGGTGATGAGTACACTGCTCTTCATGTTGTTTATTATTCCTACATGTATTTTTTTGTTCTTTTAGAGAGAGAGAGATTTTTGCCATAGAACACATGCACTCACTGGAGAGACAAAGAGACAGAAAGTGAGAAATCGCCTGCTAGGGGAAATGGCCACATCACAAGCCATTCTTCTCCGTTTTCCTCTTGGGATTTTAGGCACACATGCACATGCACCCGGTGTGAATTTTAAGCCACTGGATCCAGAACTCATACCATAGTCAACTATGTGTGAGTCCACTGATATAACCATTATGCCATCTGTTGGTTCCATTATTATTATTTTTTTTTTTTAAAAGGAAGACAGAAGGGACCAGCTGTTGGCATAATGCCTATGTCATTGAAATCCCATGTAGTTAACTGTGGTTCAAGTCCCAGACCCGGTGGCTTAAACTCACGCCAGGCGCGTGTGCATGTGTGCCCAAGATTCTGAGAGGAGAAGGGATTGCGGCATGGCCATCCCCCCTGGGGACTGATTTTCCGCTTTCTGTCTTTCTGTCTCTCTTTCTTTCTGGCGAGCGCACACACCCTATAGCAAAAACCTCTCAAAAAAAAAAAAAAAAAGAAAAAAGAAAGACGGAGAGAGGTGGGTGAGGCAGAGTAGAAAAACACCCCACTGCCATGGGGGATGGTCACTCTGCAGTCTCTTCTCCATTTTCCCTCCTTTTGGGATTTTGGGCACACACGCATGTACCCAGCGTGCTTTCAAGCCATTGAATCCAGGAAATCAAACCACGTGGTGGGCCGCGTGGGCCCCAGCCATGTGGGATGACTGCAAACGCCACGGGCCGGCCCTGAGGCAGGATGTCTCACTGCCAGCCGGTGCCTCCCTGTGCATGTCTTGGGGTTAGGGGAGTCAGTCAATGTCCTGAGGAGTATTGTGTGAGCCGAGGCCTGGCCCATCTTACCGTGTCCCTGCCCCTCTGCTCTTCAGAGAGTACACGCTGGATGTGTACAGACTCTCCTCTGTGGTCACACAGCACGATGCCAAGAAAGCCGGAGCCGAGGTGGTCAAGCAGGTGGAGCACCCTCTGCTCAGTGGCCTGTTGTACCCTGGACTGCAGGTATGTAAGGAGTGGCGTGGCCCCAGGGGCTCTTGGGCTGTTTCTAAGTAGCGGACATACCGGACCGCCCCTTGTCCCCGGATAAACCGGTGCACTTGTGTCCCTCCGTCAAGCTCAAGGCCTTCCTTCCTCTGTCCTCCTCCCCTGCTTCTTGGATACTCTCCGACCTCTTTAGCAGTCGAGTCCTCCCCTGTCCTTTAAGACGCAGCTAACATCACACATCTTGATGTTTATCAGAATCTCTCTTTTTTAACTGCCAGTGGGTGGGTGTGCTCGCCAGAAAGAGAAGGAAATAGCACCCGGTGGGCCCTGGTCACACCTCAATCCCGTCTCCATTCCCCCATCCACTGGGGCTCTGGGGCAAACACGCACACAAATCCCACATGTTCTAAAAGCTGCCAGAGCAGAGACTCTAACTGCCGTCAGCCCAGGGGATCCTGCCCCTAGTCACTGGCTGCAGTTCAACCCTATCATACTCCTTTTCTTTCTTCCTTTCTTTCCTATTTTTAATTGCCGGAGGGCACGTGCGCTCACTGGAGAGAAACAGTGGGAGGGAGGAAGAAGCACCACCTCCCCAACACGTGAGCTGACCTCAGTCCCTGTTCTCTAGCCTATGGAGACACGATCATGCGCGCGTGTGCACACACACACACACACACACACACACTCTCACACACACACACACACACACACACACACAGTGTATTTTTCAAGCCACCAAGCCCAGGATTCAAACCACACCGCTGGCCTTGTGGGCTCCAGCTCCCTGAACCACTGGGCCACGCGGTATCTCCCATCATAGTCTCTGTTTTTTGAGAGATTTTCGCTATAGGGTGTGTGCGCTCACTGGAGACAGAGAGAGACAGAGAGACAGAAAGTGAGAAATCACCCCCTGGGGGGATGGCCACTCTGCAATCCTTTCTCCTCTTGGGATTCTGGGTGCACACACACACACACACACACACAAACACTTGCGTGCATGTCCGGCATGAGTTTAAGCCGCCGGGTGTGCGACTCTAACCACGGTCAACTGCATAGAGTCTAGTGATGTAAGCTTTATGCCATCTGCTGGTCCCTCCCATCATAATCTCTTCACTGAAGAAAATAAGGTTCAGAATGACATGTGAAAATACTCGTTAGACATTATCCTAGTTTCCACTAAACAAAACAAGTATGTCATATTTCAATTGTCATTTGTGTGTCTCTGTGGGCAAGGAGAAAGGGAAGAATACCAACAAAGCTGTTGATCCTGGTTTCCACAAAGAGGCAGGATGAACTCATGAGTAGACTTAACTTTCCTTTGCGTATCTCTTTGGTGTTGGATAGAAGAAAATCATGTCCTCCCATGTCACCTCTAACGGCTCCACTCCAAGGTTAACTTAGACACGTTTTAGATGTCTACTGTCTAATACGGTATTTTCTAGTCTTAGTCAGATGTGGCTATTAAAAGTAATTGAAGAGGGACCAGCAGTTAGTGTAATGGCTATGTTGCTGGACTCCCATGTAGTGGACTGCGGTTTGTGTCCCAGACCTGGTGGCTAAAAACTCACGCCAGGCGTGTGTGCGTGCGTGCCCAGGATCCCTAGAGGAGAATGGAGGAAAAGGGATTGTGGTGTGGCCATCCCCTCTGGGGGGTGATTTCTCGCTTTCTGTCTCTCTCTGTCTTTCTGCGAGTGCACGCACCCTATAGCCAAAAACCCTCCAAAAAAAAAAAAGTAAAGAGGGGACCAGCAGGTGGTGTGTTGGTTAAGGCACTGGACACTCCAACATAGCCAACTACGGTTTAAGTCCCAGACCTGGTGACTTGCTTTCTCACTTTCTCTCTCTCTCGCTCTGGTCAAATTAAAAGAAAATAAAATGAATGAATGAATAAAATTAAATAAATAATTTTTTTTTAAAAAGTAATTAAAGGGACCAGCAGATAGTGTAGTAGTTATGTCACTGAACTCCCACGTGGCCTACTGCAGTTCGAGTCCCAGGCCCAGTGGCTTGAAAATTATGCTAGATGCGTGTGAATGCATGCCCAAAACCCCAGGAGAATGGAGAAGGAATTGCAGTGTGGCCATCCCTCCTGGGGGTGATTTCTGACTTGCCTTCTCACTATCTCTGTCTTCTGTCTCTCTCTTTCCGGCAAGTGCACATACCCTCTGGCAAAAACTTCTGAAAACAAAAACGTAATTAAAATGAAATATAATCAGAACTTTAGCTCTTCAGTCACCTTGGCTCTCTTTCAGGTTCTCGGTCACCACATGTGACTAGTGGCTACCACACCGGCTAGCACAGGTCCAGAACACTGGCCTTCACAGGAGGTCCTAGACGATGCTGTTCTAGATGGTTCCTCTTCCACCCAGTCTCCCTTCTCTTCCCCTCAGCCAGTCACTCACTGAGTTTTACCGGTCCTACCTCTTTAAAACCCCTGAAGTTCACTCTCGCCCCGCATCCGTACACCTCCCCTAGACCGGCTAGCTGTTCTCTCGGTCTGCAGCCCGCGTCCGTCCTCCCCGCCCATCACGTGTGACCTCTCGGCAGTGCTGGCCCCGTACGCCCTCCTCGTAGCCATTCAGCAGCCGGGACGGCGGCGGCCATCCCCAGACGGCTTTTCATGCTCCTCACGTACCCGTCTGGCCTCGGCACTCACGTTGCCCACGTTCCTCTACGTCTGCTCTCGCATTCGAATCTCCCGGGATTTCCCTGGCAGCCTCACCCTCTGCTTCTCACGCCGTTTCCTGCGTGTGCTGAGAAACATCTGTGTGTTCTTCAGAGCCAGGCTCTGCCCACGGTCTGATTCCGGGACGCCGTCCTCCTGCACACCTGACCAGACGGAATAGTCGTTTCTTCCTTGCCCCAGCACCGATTTCCGTCAGGGCCTCTACGTGAGCTCTCAGCACACGGGACTGCAGCGGGGGCCTTCCACTATCTCCCGAGCTGGCCGATGAGGTCTGCCTCAGCTCTGCCCACAGGGCGGTCGCCGGGCCTGGCATCTAGTGGCACTCACTGCTTACTAATTCAGTCTTTTTTTTAATTGCTGGAGGGCACGTGCATTCACAAGAGACAAAAAGAGAGACAGGCATGGTCAATTGCAGTTCCTCGTCCTCCAGTGACTCATCTGTCAGGATTTGGGGCGTCTGTGCACACACACTAGTGTGTTTTTCTTTTTTCTTTTTCTTTTTTTTTTTTTTTTTGGTAGAGCCTTTTGCCTTAGGCTGAGAGAGACAGAGAGAGGAAAAGTGAGAAGTGTCTCCCCACAGTGGTGATGGTCACACCTCAGTCCCTCCTCCTCTCAGGGTCTTGTGAGTTTCACCTCTAACCACGTGGAGTCCAGCAGTGTAACCACAACGCCATCTGCTGGCCCGAACACTGATGCATTTTTCAACCCGCCAGAGCCAGGATTCACACCGCAGTCAGCCACATGGAATCCAGCTCCCCGTGCACGAAGCCTAACCACTGCACTGCTGGGCTGGCCCAGTCCCTCTGCTTTTGTGAGCTCGCATTGGACTTACCCCGAATGCTTGGCATTTGCCGTGGCTGCTTCCTGGGGTGCCTCCAACACAAACGTCTGTGGGTGTCTGTGGGTCGTCTCCTCCCCGCCCCTGGGTTGTGAGCGGCCAGGGCACCGGCACTCTTCCTGGCTTTCATCCCATGACGTCCACGCAGTGGTGTCATTGCCAGGACGCGGCAGCTGTTCACGCGGCCCCCGGGGCTGGCAGGGAGGCCAAGTGCTCTTTGTCTCCTTCCTGGCTCTACCTTGTAAAATGTCTGATGGTTTCTCAGGTCTCTGACTTCTCAGACCCGTGCTGAAGTATGGTAGGTGTTTATGTTCGTGTGTTTCTTTCCACAGGCTTTGGATGAAGAGTATTTAAAAGTGGATGCCCAGTTTGGAGGCGTTGATCAGAGAAAGATTTTCACCTTCGCGGAAAAGGTCGGTGTCTCTTCTCCTGTCGTTTTCCTTTGAGCCTCAGAGGTGCGTGGCTGAAGTTGGCTGCACTACCACGCGCTGCTCCCGCCAGCCAGAGCCGTAGTCTGTGCCAGGGCAGCTGTTAGTCTCCGACTGAGGGTAGAAGACTGAGAAAGCAAGGGACAGTAGTTGACACGTGGTTAAAGTGTCAGATTTCCACCTGGCTGACTGTGGCTCGAGTCCTGGACCCTGCAGCCTGAAAAATCACACCAGGTGCGCATGCATGCCCAGAATCCTGAGGGGAATGGAGGAGAGGGGATTGTGGTGTGGCCATCCCTGCTTGGGGGTGATTGCTCACTTTTCCTCTCTCTCTCTTCGGTGAACACACGTGCCTTATGGCAAAAACCTAAAAAAGGAAAGACTAAGGAGGTTGCCCAGCGTCGCTCAGTCACGGGGCAGGACTTAGTGCCCGTGTCTGTCTGACTCCAGAGCCTGTGCCTCGCTGCCTCCAGGAAGCTGTCCCGGACCTACTGGGTTCACGTCCTTCCACACAGCGCCATGTCCAGGGGCAGCCCCGGCACTGCCAGTCCGCCCCATCCTTGCCCTGAGTCTGTACAAGGTGCTCCTCGCTGAGATGAAGTTTAACAGGGTTAGCAGGAAATCGGCACAAACCCCTAATGGCTCTTTTCTGGGAAAGAACTTAAGTTGAAAAGGGCTATTGAGAAGGAGTTGGTATTTTTGAAAACTTCTCAAAACCTCATGTTGTCAGGGACCAGCAGGTGGCATGATGGTTAAGGCGTTGGACACTCCCACATGGCCGATCATGGTTTGAGTCCCAGACCTGGTGGCTTGCTTTCTCACTTTCTCTCTCTCTCTGTCTCTCTCTGGTCAAATTAAAATAAATGAATTAATAAATAAATTAAGTAATTCTTTAAAAAAAAAAAAAAACAACTCATGTTGGCAAGGCATAGAGAAAACACTAGTGGAAATTTCAATTCTTAGAAGATGGTTTGGCAACCCTGAACTGTTTTTACACTTTGACCTAATAATGTCCTTTCTAGGAATTTGTTCTAAATAAACAAGAACAAGTGCGATGAGAGTTAGGTGTGAGAATACTCAGCCCAGCCACGGTGGCCGTGCAGGCAGCAGAGTGCTGCCACAGGGTGCCTGAGGCCACGGGGGTGACCCTGATCTGGTCCTGGCCACCCCTAAACAGGCGGGGTGTGGCAGCCAGCATCGGTGATCCTTGCTAACTGGGCGGGAAGACTGTCAGAGATCTGTCTCAGAGCCAGTCAGTGGTGTGGTTATGGTGGCTGGATCCCACATAGCTAACTGTGCAGTTCAAGTCCCAGATCCGGCAGCTGAAAAGCACATGAGGCGTGTGTGCATGTGTGCCCAAGTCTCCAAAGAACAGCAAGATGGAGGAGAGGGGATTGCATCGTGACCATCTCATGTAGGAAGCAAAAAGCTCTCTCTCCTTCCCTCCTTCCTTCTCCCTCCTATGCTCTCTTTCTGTTTCATAAAAGTAAATATTGGGGCCTGCAGGTGATGTGGTGGCTAAGCGCAGGACTCCCACATGGCTGACTGCAGTTTGAGTCCTGGACCTGGCAGCTTGCTTTCTCACTTTTTCTCTCTCTCTCTCACTCTGTCCCTCTTGGTCAAATTAAAATAAATAAAGTTAAATAAAATAATTCTTTTTTTAATAAAATAATTCTTTAGATAAATAAATATTTATTGGCCCAACTGGTAGTGTGGTGGTTAAGGCACTGGATTCCCACATGGCCAACCACTGCCTAAGTCCTGGAGCTGACGCCTTGAGAATCAAGCCAGACATATGTGCATGCGTGCCCAGAACCCCACGAGAGTGGAGGAGAGGAGACTGGCATGATCATCCCCCATAGGGGGTGATTTTTCATTTTCCCTCCCTGTCTCTATCTCATTCTAGTGAGCACATGCACCTTATGGCAAAAACCTAATTAAAAAAAAAGTACTTACTGCATTATAAATTTAAAATGGGAATCTGGAAATAAAATGTCCTGTGACAGAACTGGTTCAGTATGACTGTTCCCTGACTTACAATGGTGTTACATCCAGGTGAACCCTCATAAGTTCAAAATAGAAGTCAGAAATGCTTTTAATATATACATTATAGGGGGCCAGCAGGTGGCGGGGTGGTTAAGGTACTGGACACTCCCACAGGGCCAACCATGGTTCAAGTCCTAGACCTGGTGGCTTGCTTTCTCACATTCCCTCTCTCTCTGTGTGTCTCTCTCTGATCAAATTAAAATAAATGAACGAACAAATAAAATTGAATAAATAATTATTTTAAATACATACACACACACATTATATATTAGCCTAGCTTACTTTGTTTTCTTAGTTTCATTGCCAGAGGGCACGTGCACACAGCGAGGAGAGGGAGCAGGAGAAAGCACCCCCGGTGGGGCGTGGTCACGCCTCAGTCCTGTCTCCTTTTCTCCATTGAGATTTTGGGTCCACACACACGTGCACCTGGCATGTTTCTCAGGCCTCATGGCTGTGGTTTAGATATGTGGGATCTGGCTTCCTTCACTGCTAGGTTACAGGGCCAGCCCAGATGGGCCTATTTTATTCTTTCTTTATTTGAATTTGCCAGAGTGTACATGTGACTGCCAGAGAGAGAGGGAAAGCAAGCAAGCACCCCCCAGAAGGAATGGTCATACACAATCCCTTCTCCATTCTCCCTCTTTTTAGAATTTTGGGCACGCACATACACATACCTGGCTTGTTTTCAAGCCACCGGGTCTGGACTTGAACTATACAGTCAGCCATGTGGGATCCAGCCACCTTAACTACCAGGCCGTGGGCTGGCCAAGTCTACCGTAAACATGCTTAGAACACTTGCATTAGCCTACAGTTTGGCAACATCATCTAACTTGCTTTTATTATAATGTGTTGGCTACTGTACACAGATGGGCATTTTGTAGACATGGTGGGATCCAAAACACATAACAATAAAATTTTAAAAATATACTCTACAGCACATACACTCACCAGGAAGAGAGTGAGCAAGAGAGAATCATCCCCCAAGGGGGGTGGCCACACCACAGTCCCTTCTCTGTTCTCTCGGAACTTTGGGCACACACATACATGTGCCCATAAGATTTTCTTTTTAAAAAAAAGAATTATTTTATTTGATTTGTTATTATTACTATTATTATTATTATCAATTTGACCGGAGAGAGACAGAGAAAGAGAAAAGGAAAGCGAGAAAGTAAGCTGCCAAGTCCAGGACTTGAACTGTGGTCGCCCATGTGGAAGTCAGCATCCCAATCACTGCACCACTTGCCCACATGGTTTTCCAGCTTTCTTTTTCTTTTTTTTTTTTTCTTTCTTTCTTTCTTCTTTTTTTTTTGGGGGGGGGGAGGTTTTTGTTATAGGGCGTGTGTGCTCGCCAGATAGACAGAGAGAAAGAAAGCGAGAAATCACCCCCAGGGGGGATGGCCACGCCACAGTCCCTTCTTCTCCATTGTCCTCTCAGGATCTTGGGCACACACGCACACGTGCTCAGTGTGAGTTTTAAGCCACCGGGTCTGGGGCGCGAACCGCGGTTGACTACGTGGGAGTCCAGCAACATAGCCATTGCACTAACTGCTGGTCCCAGCCCACATGGTTTTCAAGACCACAGGTCCAGGATTCTAACCATGTTGACCATGCAGGATCTGGTACCCACCTCTACACCATCTACTGACCCACAAAACACAGTATTTAAAATTCCTGGGGAGGAGACCAGCAGATGGCGTAATGGTTGAGTTGCTGAACTCCCACATAGTCCACCTGGTTTGAGTCCAGACCGATGTTGGGCATGGGGCTGGCAGGTGGCATGTTGGTTAGGGGGGCTGGACTCCCACTTGCCTGACCGTGGTTAAGTCCTGGACCTGGCGGCTTGCTTTCTGATTTTCCTTTTCTCTGTGTGTGTCTCTCTCTAGTAAACTTAAAAACAAACAAGCAAATAAATAAGTAAATAAAAATAAAATAATGATGATGAGTAAGATTAAATAAAATAATTCTTTAAAAAAAATCATGCTGGGCGTGTGTCCTTGTGTGCTCAAAATCCTAAGAGGAGAGTGAAGGAGAAGGGATTTCTGCATGGCCATCCTCCCTGGGGGGGGTGATTTTTCACTCTCTTTCCAGCGAGCACACATGCCCTGTAGCAAAAAATCTCTTTAAAAAACCAAACAAACAAATAAAATAAAATCCTTGGGCAACACTGTAGAATGTTGCTGGTTACCCTCCTGATGGCGAGGCCAGTTGGGAGCATCCATGGCAGGACCCCCTGGCGTGTGACGAGCTCAAAAGAGATCACATTTCAGAATTTCAGATACAGGAGCCAGCCATGTCACATAGCGGTTAGGCTCTGCACGTAGAGGACCAGATCCCAGATACTAGACCACAGTTTGAGTCCCAGCCCTGGTGACTCGAAGGCCACACCAGATGCATGTGCATATGTACATGCCCCCGGGGGGGGGGGGCAACAGGTGGCGTGGAGTTAAGGAGGCTGGATCCCACTGGCTGTGTGGTTCGATTCCCAGACCCAATGGTTTGAAAAGCATGTCAGGGGCATGTGCACACGTGCCCAAAATCCTGAGAGGAGAATGGAGAAAGGATTGTGGTGTGGCCATCGCCCTTGGGGGGGTGATTTCTTTCTTTCTTTCTCTATCTCTTTTCTTTTCTTTTTTTTTTGAGAGACGGAAAGTGAGAAATCACCTCCCAGGGGAATCGGCCATGCCCCAGTCTCTTCTCCTCCATTCTCCTCTCAGGACTTTGGGCACACATGCACATGTGCCCAAGTGAGTTTAGGCCATTGGGTCCAGGACTTGAACTGCAGTTGACTACATGGGAGACCAGCAACCTAACCATTATGCCATCTGCTGGTCCTGTCTCTCTCTTTTCAGTGAGTGTACACTTCCTATGGCAAAAATCCAAAAAAGAAAAAAAAAATTAAATCAAACCATTGTAAATAAAAAACTCTATGTTATGATAAA